TCTCATTTCATGGACCGCACACTGTGTGAGTAGGTACCATTATGAACCCATTTTGCAGATGAGGAATCTGAGGCCCCGAGGAGCGTACACACACCAGAGAAGCGGCAGAATCGGGAATCAAACCCAGGTCTGTCTGATCCCAGAGCGTGTGCCCTTAACCACTGGCTAGGCAGAGCTGCCTTTGTTCTTCACTGTCTCCCCATCACCTCTCTCCTTCCTCATCCTTGTATCTCCAGGTTACACCTGGTCGCTGCCAAATCACACAGTGAGAGAGATTGGAACCTTTGGACCCCTGGAGTTAGTTTCTTATGACAGTTTTAGTAATACCTGATGCTTAGCGATTATCTTTATATAAACTTACCAAACCCCACTGAAAAAGGAGGCAAGGAGAAGCTGTACCATTTTTAACGATGAAATAAGCTTTGTTTGTGGATGTTTTATTCTGTTATCCTATTATGCTCTTACTTATTTTTTCCTTTTAGACCCCTGCAAATTTTCTTCCTCATAATTGGGAGAAGACCCACTGGCTGAATGGCAGCTGTAGATGACTTGCAGTTTGAAGGTACATTAGTTGGGTGCCCACCTTTATCTTCATGACACTGTCTCCACAGTCACAGCAATGCATTTTCTTTGCTGTACTGCTTTCCACATTAAGAATATTATAGTCTGGGTACGATGGCTCATGCCTGTAATCCTGCACTCTGAGGGCCCAAGGCGGGTAAGTTGCCTGAGCTCAGGAGTTCGAGACCTTGTCTTTAAAAAGAGCTGGGTGGTGTGGCGGGTGTCTGTAGTCCCAGCTACTCAGGAGGCTGAGGCAAGAGGATTGCTTGAGCCCAAGAGTTTGAAGTTGCTGTGAGCTATGATGCGACAGCACTCCACCAAGAGCAAGAAAGTGAGACTCTGTCTCAAAAAAAAAAAAAAAAAAAAAGAATATTATTTCAAACGTCTTGGCGAAAGACTGGCCCACCTAGATTTTCTCTGTCCTCAATAGCTGTTCTTTTTTTTTTCCTTCTTTTTTGCCAAATAGCCCTTCAGATTGGTTAACAGGTATATAAATTTAGTGCAGTGATTACAGAAAATGTTTATACAGTTTCTGCTTTAGTTTAGCAAACATTTATTGAGTACCTACTTTATGCTTAGAACTGTACTGGATACTAGGGATAAAAAGATAAAGGGGTTTACACGCTGGTAGATTAAAGTGTAGAAAGATAATTAGGAGGAAATGTGATCAGTTCAGTCTTTCATTGAATCAGTAGATATCTCATGAGGTGATCAGGAACCAGGCATTGTTCTATTAGGGATAAAAGAGTGAAGGAAGCTGTTTGCTCGCTTTTTTTTTTTTTTTTTGAGATAGAGCTGTGTT